AATATATTTGCTTCTTGTACTTCTGCTAATGTATTCTTCAAAAAAAATAATGTACATTCACCTATACAAAAATTCAGAAATCAAGACATACTCATAATATCACAAATGTTTACCTTTATGAGATGTAAAAAAATCGAGTAATATTTTTGGACATGTACCATCTTTGAGATTCGAGAAGTAACTCTTTACTACTAGATAAATAGCAATTAAAGGTTGGATGGATAATAACAAACTGAGCCAACGTGTACGAAGATGTTGAAGTATAACTTGAGTTAAGAATGTAAAGATGAGATTAGATAAAATCGTGAAGAGGACTTATGGTTATAGTAGATAGATCAAATCACATATATTTGATTACCTTCTGTTCTTGATCAATGAAATCGAAGTATTTTGTTAATTCGAGTGAACGAACAGATGACCGACAAAAATGTGAATAAATTTTTAAAATAGCAGCTTCTATATCAAATAATAAATGATCATGTTCGTGTTTAACTGAGTTGTGAAGGATGTGACAGTAACAATTACCTAAAAGTGAAAGAATACAGAAAACATGTATGAATATTAAAGATAGAAGCGGTTTTACCTTGAACTAAAAGTGGTATTAATTCATTAAATAATGAAAAAACACTATGTTTATTACCAACATTTACATTTGTATTATCAGATCCTAGTGAACAAAGTTTTTCTAATTCTAATTCATGAGATTCTAATACATATTTAATATTAGCAAATAATCCATCAGCTGATTCATCTTGTTGTTCGATAAATTCGATAATCCCATGTTTGACACCAAAATCAGAAAAATATTGAGCTACTATAGGCAACATTTTTTCATTTCTTTTATTTGATATATCATAACAAATTGAAAAATAGGCAGCACTTTGAAGTTCTTTAACTAAATACTTTGTGAAAGCTGGTGCTAATACATTACAAGCTGTTTCATGAGCCTAAACACCAAGTAAATAAAATATTCTATCGAGAAAAACAAAAAATCCTACTTTTGTTTTACCAGAGATATAATGTTTTTTGGTAAAATAGAATCTGAAAAGCATTTTTTTGTTAATTTGGTGGTGCATGATTGTGAAAGATAACTATGGCAATGTTTTACACCGTGGAACATTAGAACTGCTTCAGTAGCAGATATTCGATTAAGTTCAGATATTGTTGAATGAAATATTGAATCTATTGTTTTTGCTAGAAAGAAATACAACATAATAGGAAGATTTTTTTATTAATATTGTAAGGAAAATATTATATTTGTTTGAGTCAATAGATTTAAGACACTCTTGATGTTTTTTTGTTTTCATATGATTATTTACATCACTTATTTCACTATTTTGAATTGAAAATTGAATATTACACGGAATGCATAACGCTTTTGTTGCATCATTTTTATATTCTTTTAAAAATGGAGAATATTGTGGATCAGATAACCATTCTTTTTTAAAGGACACCCCCGGTTTTCAAAAAGTTCTCCAAATTCGATGAAATTTGGGCTGCTAATAGG